TAAAATGTGGTGTGCAATGATAATCTGATTTAAAGCCAATACCCCAACTTCCCCAGAAGAGAAACAGAAAATATAAAAGCCCATTCCAACTATTCATTAAGTGGTTTTGTAGCCTTTCTTTTAAAAACAGACAAAGCAGGTTCCAATCACATTAGATTGGAAAACACTTATAACATTTCATCAATTCCAAAAGTATGATTTTGTACTGCCTTCAGCAGTACATTCCTTTATTTATGGCATTTTGCTATATTAAGATATACCTCTGGTATGGATAAGAATGATGCAACATTCAAAAACTCATATTCGATATGCATTCAATTAACATAACTGCAGTATCAGGAGGCAATATTCAGGAGGAATCTGAAAACCTGGTTATTCCAATGTGCCTTCAGTGATTGAACATAAGATACTCCCTAACCAAACCTGGCACAAAATGACCTCAGAAGCACTTTATTTTATGGTTCGTGCAATTAAATCCTTCCTCATCCCCGGATCCTCCTCCCAATGTTTTACATTGTCCTATCTCCCAGTGTTTTAAATTTTTATCCTTGAATTTGGCCCTGCCCAGTGAAATATTTTGTGTTTTAATGTTTGATTTTATATTGCTGTGTCACTTATATTTGTTTTGCATTTTATGTATTTTATTTTTTAGATTTGTTATGTTTTGTGTTATATTGTTGTGTACTGTACTGATGGGCGTGGCCTCATGTAAGCCGTACCGAGTCCCCCTGGGGGAAATGGAGCGGGATATAAATAAAGTATTATTATTATTATTATTATTATTATTATTATTACCACATTTTCCTCCCCAACTTTGCCACATGTCCTTATAACAAGGCCAACCTTTGGGTGATAAAGTCCATGCCTTATTTTTTTCAGCCCCACTGAGCCAAAATAATAAAGACTTTCCATTCACTGAAGTAATATAATCCAGATTCTCTCTCACTCACTCACTCACACTCACACACAAGTTTTTTTTCTATCTTTAGCGAAATAAAATAGACAGATTATGGAGAAAAGGTAGGAACTGTTTAGCACAAAATTTGGCTGTCTACTCAGTTCTCCCTTGGTGAATACCAGAAAGAAGGTTCATAACTGCACTTCAGTGGTAGATTTTGGAAGTTAATCAACTCTGATTCAGATGGAAGGGCCAGTGCCAACAAGTAAACCCCAAAGGAAGATTTAAAAGTGCTCTCTTTCTCTCTCTTTCACACACACACACACACACACCAAGAGAGAGAGAGAACATTGTATCTACACACTTCACTCTTTAAAGGATTAATTAGTAATCTCGACAAAATTCTTAGAAAAGGGCATGACGTAGCTTCATTTATGGGTCTCTTGTGCCTGCAATGTGTAAAGTCTTCCACTGATGTGGTTACCCCATTGTTGACGAATAAAATCCTTAAAGTGAAGGAGACTTAAAGTATGACACAGAGCGATCTGATAGATTTCTGGATGATTCAGTTTTAGGCTGCATATTAAGAGTCATATTTCTGAATGCCTCCCAACTTGGAAGCTTCTTGTGTGCAAACTCACACATCAGCAAATGGGACATGCTAAACTTTGTTGTCAATTATCTACTTTTCTAAAACAGGGCACTGCTTGTAAGGGGGCCAATATTCAACAAATATTGGCCCCCTTACAAATATTGAACCCACATATATAAATAACTTACAGCAGAACAATCTCAGTTCCTGTAGACTCATAATTATTTTATCAAAGGTTTAGGAACATGATAGCTTTATTCAAATTACTCATCTCAAAGTAAATGATGACAAGATTGTATTTTAACCGAAAGACAGCTGTTCACTTTTAGCTTGTATGAAACAGTTGATGGATTTTGCTGTCTTGACTACTTTGCTGGCTTGCCTTTTTTTAAAAAAAAAAAGTTTGTACTTCTCTGCTATGGAGCCTTAAAAGTCTGTTCCCAATAGGAAAAGAAAACAATATGTTCCAAATGAATCATCTATACAAAAGCAGCAAAAATAATGAAAAATGTGTCAGCCACTACATTTGCAGGTTTTCATTTTAAATTGAATGAGGAACAATAAATTATGTTTTTTCAAAGCATATTCAGCTCTTAATTGTTCAAGTTATCTACAGACAAAGAAAGATAAAAAGAAGTATCATGCTTGTGGGTTCATGTAAGTGCTTATGTTATTACTTTTCTGGATACAATGGTTAGAGTATGCCTCAAAACCAGGTAGGATTCTGGCATCATTAAAATGAATAGCAGATCTTCCATTGGCATCCAGAGAACTTGAATTTCTTCCCTAGGGTTGAGAAGGATATAGAATGTTGACCTTGGGACCAAAACTAAGGCCCCTTCTACACTGCTATATAAACCAGATTATCAAAGCAGATAATCCACATTATCTGCTGTGAACTGGATTATATGAATCTACACAACCAGATAATCCAGTTCAAAACAGACAATCTGGATTTTATATAGCAGTGTAAAAGTGGCATAAGCACACATGTGAGATTTCACAATCTGAGGCCATTAATTTGATCACAAGACTATTTTATTTAATCCTCACTACTGCAATTTGCAATAACACAATAATCTTGAGTGTTTTTCTTACAATGCTAACATCTGTATAATTCCAGAAAACTAAGAAAAACAAACAAAAAGTGTTGTAATGGTGCTTGGAATATCTACACACAGGGGGCTCCATTTGACACATCTTGTGCAAGTATCAGATGACAGAATCTGGGCTTTTATTCCTTTTTAGTTTGCCAAAGAAATAGAAAAAGAGTCTATAGAAGCAGGCATCAAATTAGTCACTGACTAATCAGAGCCAGTTTGAAGGACACAAGTTAAAATATGGTTCAGATACAAAGCATGTGCCAGAAACACTTTGTGGACTGTTACCTTCATTGCTTCCTCCCACCCTAAGGCAACCCTATCAAAGTGCATTTCCAAACAGCGCCAAAATGTGTGACAAATAAGTGGGGCAAAAAAATCATGGAACCTGACAACAAGTCCAAACACAGACCTGTCAGTCCCGGTAAATGGTCCTCCACTGTCCTGGCACTTTTCTTTGTAGCAGATATTAGAAATCTGCAAGATGGACAGGGGACATCCAGTGGAAGTTTTCTTTTTTAAAAATTGACACTCTGAGACACGCTGGACCTTATATCTGCTCATGCTGATATCTAAATGTACACACAAGCAGATTTCTTATTATCTCTCCTTGCCCTCCTGTAAATTCAAGCTCTGTTTAATTTCATAAACATTGGAAAAAAGGAATGGTTGCAGAGTGTTCTCATAGGAATTGCTTTCCGATTGTGCTTCCATTTAGCCACCTGTGTGTCCATGGTTTGCATTCGTTTACAGCACAGATCAGCTGTTTCAGGATTTTAAAATGTGCACATGCACTGGAGCAGTTCATGCCAGCATACAGGAATGAAGTCACATGTTTTTCTTGATTACAGGATATATAGTCATGTGAATATGCACATTTTGCCAAAATCGGGTTAAGCACTCCTTTTAAACATGCATTGTTCAGCTGTTAATCCGAATCAGCATGCATTTTTGTGGAATGTTATTTAGCCGCCACCACTCCCTTAAGGGCCCTAAGAGTGTGTAAAAGGGCCCTAAGAGTGTGTGAATCACTCAAAGTCGCCCAGTGGGTTTCCACAAACCCACAGAACACATTCATTCTCAAGTTCCCTGCTTCAGTCACTTCAGAATATATCCATGCCATTCATTCCCCATTATATAGAAATCTCTTCCATTAATTTGTCTCCTCATCTGCAAGAACTCATGATTCTCGCCATGTGTATCATCTATCCAAAAGCAATGCAATTAACATAATATGTTACCTTCTTACAAATAATCTAATTATTTTCTTTTCCTTTCTTTTGTACATTAAGTATTTATATAAAAATTGAAGAACATTTGCTTGAAATATTCAAATGTTTCAGTCTCAAGTACACAAGGCTCTTGTAATATTGTGTGTATACTTTTGATTTTTACTAGTGTTTGTTTACTATATGCAAGTACAGTCAAAACTTTACTATTAACAGTAAAGAAAAGGATGTATATATTACAATTAGTCTTAGTCAATAGATACCCTTAGCTCGAATCACAGCATTATAGAGCTGGAAGTAATCACAACAGACAACAATTCCAACCCCATGCCATACTGAAGCATTCACTCAACACACTCGCAACAGATGGCCATCTGATATTTATCAGGTTCATCCCAGTCACAATCCCTTGATTTTTAATAGCATTCAGAAGTAACTTCTTGATAGCAGATTCCCAAACCAAACTGACATAGTACAATTGAACATAATAATAAACCATGTCCATGAAACAAAATTGACATTAACAAAATGACAAAGTAGATAAAGAAAATTGAATGCTGTCTTTTGATACATGGTAGAGTTTAATAGTGGCATTGTAAAAACTGAGATTAGCCCGTGAAATATTTGACTTCTAATCCAGCATACATAAAGCACACTTTTGAAAAAAGCTATCATACTGAAACTCTCTGGAGCAACATATTGGACACAGTTGAGTTATTCTCAGTCAAACCCAACTAATAATTCAAAGAAAAAAATGAGCATCTGCTATGAAGTAGCCTCTGATGATTTATCAAAATCCTAGGTGGAAGACATCTTTTAGGAAGCCCCTTCTGTTTTGGAATGACTTCTGGTAACAATTGTACTTTGGATTTTAGCCCACATAGGATTGGAATTTTAGATGGTTGTTGTTATTCTCACTTACACTTACAGCTGTGAACTACCGAGAAAACATGTTAATAAGTTTAACAGTGCAACCCAATATATATAATCTAAGTAGTAAGGCCTATTGAATTCAATAAGGCATGTAGATGCATGCAAGATAATAGCTTAGAAAATAAATACTTATACTGTAAATAAACAGAAAAAGATTTCTAACACCATGTTACCCAAAATTATACAAGGTTACCACCTTGATTGCTTCACATCTGTTTTCTGTTATTTTATCAGTGAGGGACACAAACCTGTTCTGATGTTCTTGCAAGACTTGATAGATGGTAATCAGAAAGGTTTGGTTTTTAAATCCTCCAAAGATACAGTCTTTGTAGATTCGGAACTCTGCAGCAGTAACAGTCTCCCCCTCAGGAATCTTAGACAAATTAAACTTGAACTCCTTGTGGTGCCGATGAAAAGGTGTGAACTCCTTGTCATATTCAACTGAAAAGAAAAGAGGAGTTTCAGTTTAACTACAGTTATCCACAATTCCCACCCCGTATTTCTAGAAAATATTGTAAAGAAAAAAACCCAAAAAAAATTACAAATCTTTTTCAAATATTTTAAATTAAAAAGCAAAAAAGTATAATTCCTAGTGTAAAGGACTGGGGAGAAACCTCTTTTAAAAAACCTAGCCACAATTAGTGGTTTAATTTTCCAGAGGGCACATAACTATCCAAAATCTTCCCTAAATCCAAATAATATAATGTGGGAATCTACCTTTGTTTTTGAAGAAAAGGGTTGTATTTTCATGGTAAACATTATGGAGTTGTGAGCTTTTGAAAAGTAGATTTTTCAACTCCTTGAAGTTTCCAGGAGAGGCAATTCAGACATCATCATGCCAGCAAAATTGTGGTCTGGGACTCTGGAGAGGTCGATGGCCATGAAAACAGCTGTGGGAGTCTTATCCACACCTGCCTTGATGCACTCCTTTCAAACAATGAGAAGATGCAGACTACACCAGCCATGGGCAAACCTTGGCCCTCCAGGTGTTTTGGGCTTCAACTCCCACAATTTCTAACAGCCTACCAGCTGGGTCAAAGGTTGCCCATGCCTGGACTAGACCTATGCCGGTTTATGTATCTGAGACAGAGCTACTTTATGCATATCATAATAAAATATAACTCCCATGTGCCCTGTAATTTTATATACCATTAACAAACAATTGGCATGTCACCCAAAAACAATAAGTAAGACATTGAACTGGCTTTCATGGAATACTAAATGGTGTTTATAGCAAGTCGGAATGAGTCTAATGAAACATCGGGATTTGCGAGATCTTCTCTTTACCTTCTCTAAAATGGCCAGGAAGCGGGCTTCTGCAGAGTCCAGTTTCATTTTAAATGAATACTGATTTACTCTTCAATCCAAACTAGGTTTCAAAAAATAGGATAAACATGGCCCATTCTCTAATAAGGCCAACTTCAAATCAGAACTCCAAAAGTTGTATAGTTTAATGCTATGCCAGCATTCAGGAAAAGTGAACCTAAACTTTATCAAAGTATTCCTCCTAAAGTAAGAAATCTAGACAGACCCAGGTCTTATCCAGATTAATACGCACTATTTATTCCAATTTAATTGTCATTGTTTATGGATTAGAAGTATTTACAATTCTCAAATAGAGAAATCTAGTACCTCACCAGACTATGAACCATAGGACTCCATGAGATGGAAACATGGCAATTAAGGTGGAATACTAGCACTCTAATTATGTAGAAGGAGGACAAGATCTGATGTTTTATTCATTTAAACTGATTCATTAAACCTAATCCATGAGTTAGCATTACAAGCAAATGAGGCATGACTCCTCTCAAGTATAAGTCAATGAAAACTTTACCACCTCCTTCACCAGAAGAATTTTATTCTATGTAAACATCAATAAACCTTTAATAATATATAGATGAATTTATAAGAAAGCAAAATTGAGAGGCACACCAATTCAGAGAATTTAAACAAACAATATACACAAACATCTTTCTCTTAGGCCTTTCTACACTGCTATATAATCTAGATTATCAAATCAGATAATCCAGATTATCTTCTTTGAACTGGATTATATGAGTCTACACTGCCATATAATCCTGTTCAAATCAGATAATCTGGATTTTATATGGCAGTGTAGAAGGGGCCATAGATTTTGTTTAAGTACTTCTGGTGCAACCCACTGATAAAGTTTAAATCTACAGCAAATCTACACATGCTATTCCTAAAACAAGACTGTGAGACGACTATTTAGCAGCTATTTATTAAGAGCAAATTCCTGATGTTGTGGCACTGCATTGCAGTCACTTGTCAGCACAGTTTTCATGTTTCATTCTTATCATACCAGACAATTACCTTTCTCAGCTTGGTTACCACATGACTGCTATCAGTTTAACCAACCAGATGAAAACGGTTATTCCCCTTTCTGGATTTGCTTACATTTTGCTGAACATGCAATTGCATATTTTGCTTTTCTGTTGCGAGCTACTTCCTAATAGAAAAATTATTTCAAAAATCTGAAATTAAGACCACAGCCCTATGCAAGTAAATATGCATACAATATATTTTGTGCTATCTAAATATTTAATTTTATCAAGATTTCTTATTTCAAGATTTGGGTTCTGAGATAATCCTTTCTGAGAATAGCCTATTTGTATTATTCTCATATCTCACTTCAAGAAATGACCTTTTTTTCATTGAGACCATGTACACCAAAATGAAAAGCAGAAAACAGTAATTTCTCATCGTACTTCCAATCTTCTCCCACTCCACCCAACATTTCATTGCACTTCCACAATGCAATTTGGTTCAGACTGTTCTAAGCAGCAACTTTTGGAAACCAACATTAATGTATAATCAAATGCATCTGTGTGCACCTCTTGATTTAAAAAAGCTAACTAGAAGAAAATGAGGCAACCAGTACCATATGCTTGGCTAAAGTTATAATAATGGGGTAGACGCCAGTAATCAGCTACTGCTTCAGTTAATGAATCTGACAAATTATTATGCATTGCTTAACTATGTATGGGGTTCAAAGCATTAATCTATGAGTCAGAGCAAGAATCTTTTTTTATTATTATTAAACAGACATTAATCTGGTACTCTTTAAAGAAAACCATGATGTTGTGAAAACACTAGCACAGGGCTCCCTTCTTTAATGAGACACTTCTTGGGCTATTTGTTAAGCATGTGAGATGAGGGTGCCACTGTTTGCAGATGAACTCTTAGAGCAGGGGTCCTCAAACTACGGCCCGAGGGCCGGATACGGCTCTCCAAGGTCATCTAACCGGCCCTCGCTCAGGGTCAACCTAAGTCTGAAACGACTTGAAAGCACACAATAACAACAATCCTATCTCAACAGCCAAAAGCAGGTCCACACTTCCCATTGAAATACTAATAAGTTTATATTTATTAACATTGTTCCTCATTTTAATTATTGTATTGTTTTTAAGTGTATTTTTTTTTGCATAGGAATTCATACATTTTTTTTCCAAATTATAATCCGGCCCTCCAACAGTTTGAGGAACTTTGACCTGGCCCTCTGTTTAAAAAGTTTGAGGACCCCTGTCTTAGAGGAATCAAAAGGGCTCTGCCTTTTTTTCTGGATCACATCATACTATAAACTGCTATCCATAAAGCTGTGGTCTGTTAAACCAGCTGAGCATTTGCCTTTCATCTTTCTTCTCCATTTTGGTTCACTCCCTGCTGTGTGGATACAATGGATGATTGCCCATTTCATCAACACTGATGTGCATATCCACTATATAAAACAAAAACATTGGAAAATTACTGGGTTTTCCAGTGGTACTGCAATCAAGAGTTCCTTCTTGGTGCCTGAGAAGGTCCCCAGTACCCAATGGGAAAACAAAAAGGATGACTTCCAAATCATAAGCATGCATTGTGGAATGACCTTAAAGTCCATCTCAAGGCATTTCACTGACTCAACCAGGGCTCATCCAGACAGGGCCCAAAACATAAGAGCTTGCACACTTTTACCTGAGGCATCCAAACAAGACCTCCAGTAAAATCCAACTAATTCGAGACAAAGCAGGAAAAACCTGCTTTGTCACAAATTAATTTGATTGCTGGTAAGACCTGGATCTTTGATAAGATCCAGGTTTTTACATGTATGGGCCCAGTGTGGATTGGACCRGGGGACCGTGTCACACAAATCCGGGCCCAATCCACAAAGCCCTCTCAGGTTTTTCTGGTTCAATGAGCCTGGAAAACCTAGAGAGGTACCAACCCACTCCTCAAAACCCACAAAAGAAGCCTGTAAAAATTAAAAGAGCTTACCTGGCTGCCATTAAAGTACTTCTGGAGTCCTCCTGGTGTGTAGAAATGATGTGCCAGGAGATGGTGTCTGTGTGTATGMGTAAGGAGAAAAACCAATCCTGCCCTGCTCCTCCCGGGTCTCCTGGCACGTCATTTCTACATGCCAGGAGGACTCCAGAAGTACTTTAATGGCAGCCGGGTAAGTTCTTTTAATTTTTACAGGCGTCTTTTTAGTTTTTTGGGGGTGTCTGGGTGCCCTCCCGGAGGGTACCAGGAGGGCATCTAGACACCCCTCTGGGTAAGCACAGGTTTTGGGGTGACATATGGGGACTTAAACGTGCACCTAAGCAAGTTTCTTAAACTTGCTTCAGTGCACATTTAAATGCTGTCTGGAAGTGTCCCCAGAGATACAAATAGTGCTTTCCCAACCCAGCAATCAATGTACACAATATCACAACAATACATTAATAATTTAAAAATTGTTGTCCTTTCATTATACCCACAGCTAACTGAACACACTGCTTTACACTGCATACTTTAAGGTGAATAGATTACATTTGAAGGAGAAAAGTCTTAGATGTTCTTCTCCCCATGTAATAGTATTTTATGTGGAGATAATTTTTATTTTATGGATAAACATGAACCACACGAGTTGCTTTCTGTTCAATCTTACAGCCAAAATCATTCCTGCCCTGATATAGATTTACCATCTCAGTGATAGTCCTATAATAGGGTACAATCACATTCATTAAAAACAGTCAGCAGGTGCTTAGAGTTTTATCACATTATTATAAATGTATGCTAAGTCTGAAGGAAATGTCGAACGCACTAGTAATTGTTTTCAAGAACAAAACTATTCCTTCTCTTTGCTGGAACTGAGCCAATTTCTGATTCAAGTAATTCCACTGATAGTGCACTGTGATGTGGCCTATCTGTACACGAATGAGGGTTTGAGGGAAGGGTGTTACTCATTGCTAACTTTGACTTTTGTAATATATCACAGTCATAATTCAGTTATTTTTGCACTACACTTTGGATAATTCCTGGTCATTGATCATTCAGACTCTGGCTGAAAGGAACTGTTTTTGTTTTCTTCACCCATGATGAATAGCATATACTATCTAACTGACCCCACAATGATTTTAAATTAAACAGACCAGATAAAGAAAAAATCCTGTTTTGGACCC